ACTGACTGCAAAGGCTCAAATGGGCCCTGCTGTAGTGTTTTAAGCACCAGAGACAGGTCCCATGAGGGTATGGAGAGGAGCCAGAGAGGATTTAACCTTCTCGCCACCCTAAGGAACCTGATGACCAGGTCATGCTTCCCTACCGACTTCCCTTCCATGGGGTCATGGTTAGCAGCAATCGCAGCGACATAGACTTTAAGGGTGGAGGGAGACAGCCTTCGCTCCAACCCTTGCTGCAAAAAGGAAAGCACGACCCTGATCGGGCATCTCCGGGGGTCTTCTCGGTGAGAAGAACACCACTCGACGAACAGGTTCCACTTCAAAGCATAAGCGTGTCTCGTAGACGGTGCTCTCGCCGAAGTGATGGTGTCAACTACCTCTTGGGGTAGGTCACCTAGAACCTCCGCGTCCCGTCCAGGGACCAGACATGAAATTTCCAGAGGTCTGGATGCGGGTGCCACAGCGTGCTCCGTCTCTGAGCCAGTAGATCCTTCCTCAGAGGAATCTGCCAGGGAGGGGCTGTCGCACACTTGCGCAGGCCCTGCGGCCAGCTGTGTGCCAGTGTGTCCGTGCCCAGTGTTCCCTCGGTCAGGGAGTAGAACAACTGGCAGTGAGACGTTCCTGGAGAGGCAAACAGGTCTACCTGAGCGGCTCCAAAACGTCTCCAAAACAGCTGGACCGTCTGGGGATGGAGTCTCCATTCTCCCGGGAGCGTAGCTTGTGATAGCTCGTCGGCCGTACGGTTGAGCAGACCCGGAATGTGAAAGGCATGTGCTTGCCTCGTAAGCACCTTTTGAGATGGTTCAAGGCAAGGCGCACTGCTAACAACTCTAAGCAGTTGATATGCCAATGCAGTTGGGGGCCCGTCCATACCTCCGACACTGCGTGCCCGTTGTACGTGGCCCCCCAGCCAGGTGTGGAGGCATCCGTGTAAACCACAGCATGCCTGGAGACCTGTTCTAGGGGCACTCCTGCCCGGAGGAACGTAAGGTCTGACCACGGGGTGAAGGTTTGGCGACAGGCCGGTGTAACTTGGACCCGGTGAGTGCCGTACTGCCACGCCCACCTCGGGACTCGGCCATGAAGCCAGTGGACCAGCGGAACCACCACCGTACCCGCAGTGAGGCAGCAAGGTGGAACGCAGGGACCCAACTCGGGCGGCCTGTGATCGGACCGAAGAGGGGTCTGAGAGTGCCTTCACCATCCCCCAAAGAGCAGCTTTCTTCCTCTCTGGGTTACCCGTTCCGAGGCCTCTTGCTCTTTCACTCACCGCCAGGTTTGACGGGGGCCTGGACGGGTGGGGCGGCCTGCCTACGGCCAGCTCCACGGCGCCGCTTGCTGGAGGCTGCTGCGGATGTGGCACGGGAGCAGGCTGGGGCGCTGCGGCCGGCGGATAGGTGGAGGCAGCAACTGCCCGCCGGGGCAGGGTGTGACGACCCACCTCAGTCTGCTTCTGTGCAGCAGAGAGCTGCTGGAGCCCTGCCTTCTGATTGAAAGAGCCAATCGCTAATCGGTAAAGTCAGCGCGTCACTGCAGCTGCCGTTAGAAGCATAGATATGTATAGGTAGATGCCCCATTCGACTGCGCCAAGCGTGTAGATGTGTCCGCCATCTTTAACGGTCAACTTGACGTCATCTACCATAATAATCAATAAATATTCGAAGATGCCACAATGTGCCACAATCCTGCATAGCCGATGGTTGTAAAAACCAGGATAACCTTTCACAGGTGAGAATGTGTTGGTTTGTGTTTTTAAATGTATTAAAGGGGTCATATGATGCGATTTCAATTTTTCCTTTCTCTTTGAAGTGTTACAAGCTCTTGGTGCATAAAGAATATCTGTAAAGTTGCAAAGACTAAAGTCTCAAATCCAAACTTAAACCGCATAAACACATTGCATTACACCAAATACACAACATAATGTTCTTTCTAGTAACGTCATATGACCCCTTTAACTCAATATTACAAGTTTTGAAACACTGGTAACTTTTAATGTTGTGTTCGCCAACACGCTCATCTTGTTGTATGGTATTAGTTAGGTCTACACAACAACATGTTGAGCTCTCTCGGCCACCGTACTCGAGGGTTCGCAGACCATCGGCTGTTATGGTGAATGACGTCAAATTGACCCTTCGAATATGGTGGACGGCTTACGTATAGCGGCCCATGGAAACAGTCACTAATAAGGCATCTATGTATACATATCTATGGTTAGAAGTCCTGGTTGCTATAGAAACAGTCGGGGTTCTGAGATGGGTGCTCAGGACTGTGCATGCGCACTGGCTGGTCTAGCCTGAAAATAAGCTTTTTTAATGCTATTTGAGCAAAAGAAACAACATTAATGAGACAGTTGTTGTCAGATTTCATTGGTGATTTCAAATATGAAATTTAATCTTAAGCTTGGCTAACAGATTTGGAGATTTTGATGTTTCCCCATTCAAAGAGATAGGAGCTGCACTTGCATGCTCCAGAGGCGTTTCAAAGACGGCCGCCGATTGAAATGACTTGCCTTAAAGGGACTCTGATGCAGCTCAGAGGGACATAAACGCATTTTACCTGCAGTTACAAATGCATGCATGTTTTGATATTTTAAACATAAAACATTAAATTCTGATATTTGAGATTATTTTAAAAATGAAAAGATACTTTTAAGGTGCACTAAGCAATATTTGAAAAACGCTTTTGACCACAGTGTCTGACCGAGTCCCAAAACACACTTGCTGCCAATCAGCAGTAAGGGGCGTGTCTAGTAATGATAGGTAGAAGAGAGCGCTCAGTGAGTGCACAGGATGGATATTAGCAGATTGACTTGACTTTCGGAGGAACAAAACATTAAAAAGAAAGGTTGCGATCAGGCAAGAGGTAGGACCCGCATTATTATTGGAGCAGCTTTCCAGCAGTGGAGAAACTCAAGGAGCGGGAAGGCCTGGAATCGGATGCCGAGGTTTCTTTGTTTCTTCTTGATAGGTGAGTTACGTTGATTTTGTATTGTTTCACACAACTAATCTGTGTTGGCTTGCTTGAATATACTGCGGCCGGCAGGCATAGCAGATTTCGCCATCGTTGATGCCAGGGTTGTGTATGTACGTGTGGGGCGGAGATATCAAAATAGGGGCGAGGTCCTGTTGGGGTATGGGCGTGTTTGTTTTGGTGCTTTCAAATATCAACATCACTTGGCAAAATTCGCTTAGTGCACCTTTAAATGTGAAATTAAAACTGCCAGTAGGTGGCAGCAGGTCACTGTTAATAAGTGAGTCATTGCAATTTAACCGAATCATTTAATTCATTCAGGAACGAAACACCGTCATGTTGCTCAGAGACGCAAAACAGTGCTGTGGCTTTGTTTGGAATTATTTCTGTTGGCGAAATACAGCAAAAACAGGCGATGTGGTGTCGAAAACGTAAGTCTCTTAATATTAACTTCTTGTTTATTGAACTGAAGTATAAATTAAATATCCTATTTGTAATCATGCTGATTTTTGGAGAAAAAAAACTGCACTTTTCTTGTGATATTGATTAACTATATGCAATTATATAAATGTATACATTTTCTGACCCCATATCTCTAAAATGCATTTTATTAGACTGAATCATGCAGTGAAAGAACGCACTTTAAGTGTGCACGTGCACTAGTCTAACCTAGTAGATTTCACGTAATGTATGCATGCACTCTGTAGGTGAGTTTTGTTTGTTTTTTTTGCGATATACTCCATGTCAAATCTCACATTGTTAAAACAACAATTAAGATATTATCGTAGACAATATATATAGCACACCCCCTACTTCAGAACAAAAAACACTACACCAAAATTAATATTAAAAAGCACATAACAACTGCAACCATGCCTAAAACCCTGTGTTTCACGAAATATTGTCAGGGCTCAAATGCAACATCACTTGCATTTTTTCCTGATAACAGCGAAAAGAACTTAAAATGCTCCGCCATTTTTGATCGTACATATAAGTGTAATACATCATTTGAATCTGTGAAGGGTCTACTTTTATTTGTGTACACTCACAATATTAACAAAAGATTGATGTAAAATGTGTGCTTTTGTAAAATAAAGAAAATATACAGGGTGCACTTTCAGCTGTCTCAGTCTCTGCGAACTTCTTTCTGAAACACATCACTAAAATGAACCAAAACTCAGAGAATACTTCACACACAGACATGAGAAACATATCTATGGAAAGCTTGAAGTGTCTTTAAATAAAGTAAGTATTATCAACATTAAAGGATTTTTTGCAAACATTTTCACTTGCCCCACCATATAAATAGTATGCAAGTGAATAAATAAGCAAGCAAGTAATTACAAAAAAAAAAAAAGATACATGCATTTAAAAAAACACATTGCTTCCGGCCAAATGTCATACACGCATTCGTGAGTTCACACATGACATACAGTAAATGTCAGTGTACGTTCATGTACAGTAAACATTCATGTAAAGCTTGCTCAAGATGTGACGCAGAAACACTGAGGACCATCACTTTTTCCGCAAGCCTCCACACGCGCTGACATTTACATCAAGTGTGTGAATTCATGAACGTGCATATGACAGTTTGGCGGAAGCGATGGTTTATTACAATTTAAAATAGTAGTATTTTTGTCACACACATCTATTTTTCACTTCAGAAGACATTGATTCATCCCCTGGGGTCGTGTGGATTACCATTTTTTATTGTGCGGTTTTTGAAGCATCAGCTTGGAGTGTCCCATCAACTTCTGGGGACAGCATGAGGGTGAGTAGTGATGAGCGAATTTTCATTTTTGGGTGGAGTATCCCTTTACACTGAAGAAAGTGTGCTCTGCACTTACCCACACAGGTCTAATATCATGCCTCGTCACACCACGTATGCATTGTTCGCCAACAGGTTAAACAAACGCACATACGCACAGTCATTCTTTAAAACACACTTTGACATATCTTTAAGAATGAAAAAGACAGATTCAGAAAAACTAAGTGTTTTTTTATTATTGGATGAAATCTGTTAAAGTGCAATGTGCAAAAAGAGAAAAAGAGTGAGTGGGAGAGAGAGTATAAGCAAGCATCATACAGAGCAGATCATCTGCGCTGAGGAAGAGCATCTCAAAGACCTTTCAGTCCATGTCTTTGAGCTATAAGATGACACCATGATCCTTCACAGCACAAGTCAATAACTTTGATGTTTGGCTGCACAGTCACGTCTAGAAAGAACTGAGCCATGACTGTATCCTATCCATTGTCTATGAAGAAAGAGAGACTCTTTTGAGCAGCACACTTCTGTCATGGGCTGGTTTATGTCCTGTTAATTTCAATGAATTTCAATGTCTTCCCAAATATTAGAATTTAATGATGAAAGTAGCCACGAATTACAGCTACAGTGTGTAATCTTTTAATGTTTTTTTTTGAATGTTTTAATGCAAGCTAAATTTGCAGAATCAACTTATAAGTAAATGTTTAATGAGCTGAGCAATGTCTACTTTTTGCTGGGCAGAGTTGGGTATAACGCGTTACACAGTAGCTGTACAGTAACACAGTTACACAGTACAGTAACGCGTTACTGTAATCTAATTACTTTTTCTGGTAACGCAGTAATGTAACGCATTATATTTTAAATTTGTGTAATTTGATTACAGTTACTAAAGTCAATATAATTGCGTTACTTACGTTACAAATGTAGTGTTAAGAAAAAAAATTATATGCCTTTTAAAATCATGTTTTGCGCAGGGTAGACGGAGGCGCCGGCCCTGTTCCTGATAACAGCGAAAAGAACTTAAAATGCTCCGCCATTTTTGATCATACATACAAGTGTAATACATCATTTGAATCTGTGAAGGGTCTACTTTTATTTGTGTACACTCACAATATCAACAAAACATTGTGCTTTTGCAAAATAAAGAAAATAAAC